CATGCCGTGTGCGACGACGTAGACACTTCTCAACACTTGAGTGACTTGAATTTGGCCATGATGACCGAATGTCATTGGACCGTGGAGTCGAGTAGAGGGCTCAGGCTCGATCGGCACAACGGGTACGTATAGCACAAGGGTAGGGCTAATGATATATCAAGTTGTTTGCTGTGCACAACCTTGGGGCGGAATTCGGCACGAAATTCTCTGCTCACCAACTGTTGAGTATACCATGCAATACGTAGGTTTAAACTCATATTACAGTGCTATAACGGTTGCAACCCTCTTTCAAATGTTGACATAGCCAACAACCACATAATCCATATCAAATCTTGCCCCTTGTTTTCTTTCTAAGTGTGAATAATATAAATAATACCAGTCCTAATCATTGGAAAATGCAAATCACGGTCTATTATCGACACATCGTACTGTCGCGGACATGGAAATCCAGTCGATTGACCGGGGTCGGCGCCCTCAGCGCGTACAGAACGTTGCATGCAGTGCACATGTTGATCCAATGCGACCATCAGCAGCGCATTATAAACCGTGCTACGGCTGCATGGCCAGCGCCCTGGGGCCGCTATCCGTGCGACCTGATTTCCATGTCCACGACAGTAGTACCATGCAGCCTGGTAGTGCATTTGGAGCAGGAAAGTGAATGGTAGCACTGCGGTGGTGAACACATGAGCTGATGACAACCATTGTCGTCTTGTTGGTTTGTGTTGTCTCCAGTTCATTGCAGGTTTGAACGAGGAATGAACGTCTACTCTTTCTTTCCAAAACTGGCTGGGCACACGCCAATGAGACGGAAGCTAGTGCGAAACCAGTCCTTGGAAGTTTTGTGGTGCTGCTGGACTTTCAATCATCATGTAAAGTATATTCCGGTTTCTGAGTCTTCGTGTGCGCCTGAAGAGCTACACTGTGTAGAAATGTTGGAAGTTTATCCTGCTCACGACACTGCACCAAGTACAAGCACTTCCTCGGCACTGCCTGAGCCCTGTTCTGTGTTTACTGTGACCAGGAGAAGCAACTAGACATTTGGAGCTTGAGCTGGAACGCTGGTGCTCTCTTTCTCTCTCTCTCTCTCTCTCTCTCTCTCTCTCTCTCTCTCTCTCTCTCTCTCTCTCTCTCTCTCTCTCTCTCTCTCTCTCTCTCTCTCTCTCTCTCTCTCTCTCTCTCTCTCTCTCTCTCTCTCTCTCTCTCTCTCTCTCTCTCTCTCTCTCTCTCTCTCTCTCTCTCTCTCTCCGTCACGTTCTGCCACTGTCCGAAACCGGTGCATGTGCTAGCATGTCGAAGCGCATTGTGTCTGAGTCACGTACTCACTCTCCTGCTCCTCCCTCATATGCCCAAGACAGTATGACCAACTGTGAATACAGTTCATGCCCACATGTGAACTTGTGTAATTCTCTTGTAGTAAGCTGCCACGTGTGTACTTGCACGTGTTGTGTACATGTGTGTGTGTGTGTGTTTTTGTGTGCGCGTGTGTGTGTATCTATGGGACTGCGTTCTCCTATTCTCTCTCCGGTGCCTTCGAGGCCCACGCAACCCTTGTGGCAGTGGCTCGACAGCACAGGGCAGGTGTGTGTGCGCGCGTGCATGTGTATATGTGGGTGGGTGTGTGTGTACGCGCGCGCGCGCGCGTGTGCATGCGCATGTGTGGGTGTGCGCGCGTGCATGCAGATGTGTGTGTGGGGGTGTGCGCACACTGATGCTCAGCTCTCCAGAATTATGTCCGTGTGCGAAGCCAGTGTATGGTGGCAACATAGCCTTCCTTCATGTATATGTGTATGCGCAAACTATTTGGGATGCTTTACTGTTTTTGGTGGGATCCAGTTACATAGTTTTCTGTTCAATTATTTATGTTTATACAGCTGCTGTATTTGTAGTGCAACTTTATGTCTTTCTGCTGGTCAAATTGTCGTCTTGATGGTGTTCTAATACTGATATACATAGAAAATATTACCCTCAGAAAGTGTGCTCGTTGTGAAGTTGCCATTCTTTGGGCTCAAACCATTGCTCGTGTATAGGTAGATACATATCAGTAGGTTCGATTGGTGGCGAGAGGTCAGCCTAAATTGTTTGGGGCGGAATTCGGCACGAAATCCACGCTGAGTACTTTTTGACGACGAGTTGCGTCGGTCTTGAGAAAGCGAGGAAAATGATGTCGCTTGGAGCTTTCCGCGAAACTGAGGGCAGCTAATGCCCGCACCTTCCCAAACATTGCCTCGGAACAAGACGATACCACCAGGGAAGCTCTTGTGAGCAAGGGATAAAATAGTCTCTTTTTGGCGATATTGAGCTGAGTTTCAAATTTCCCGGGCCTGGGGTCGGATTTGGAAAATAAAAGTGCAACTTTTAGGGCTCTTTTTCGGTGCTTGCGCTTCGCCTGTATTAGCACGGTCTTGGTGGAAATCAATGCGGCATGTATGATATCTAGCACGTATTTTTTCTTGCCCTGTATGGATGTATTGGTTGAAAAAATATAAGCACGGTCTCCAATATAAGCGCGGTCTCGAATATAAGCACAGGGTAGAGGGGTGTTCAAAAAATATAATCACGGCGCTTATAATAGAGAATATACGGTATTTTCGCACCATGCCACAATGACGTCACACATACATTGGTATGGGGCGTGGCTAAAATTGAAATATCTCAAGAACGCTTTCTCGTAGAGACTTCGGACCAAGACCATTCGACTCAGCGCCCGAAACTCTACAGGCTATCAAATTTTCATTTTTTCGTGGAGTTCCCCTTTAAAAACAAAAAAGTCCTGAGCGTGTTTCTAAGATTTAAAAACGCCAAGTGTTCTGCTTGCTGCCAGCTGGACCCTTTCTCTTCTTCTTTCTTTTGTAGTTGTGTGGTTATTGTGTGAGTGTATAATTATGCAGGAGTCCGCGGTCATGTGAGGGGGAGTGATAAATGGAAGTTTCCGGAGGAGGAAGGAGGAAACTGTAGTTATCACCAACCCTCACCGCACCCAGCTCACGACGCTACGGCGTGCGACCTGAGCTGGGCGCCCTGCCGTGCAGTATGGAACTGTCCTCAAGCCAGTCACGTATTTGGCAGCCCAGTGAGCTGTCTACCGGATCCCAGCGTTTAGAACCGCCAAATGCGGCAGGGCCAGTCTCAGGCTGGTCGCGTAGGCGGCAGGCCGGCGGGGTACGGCAACTCTGCATTCGCATTTGGATCACCGAAGTGATACAGGTGCTTCCACTGCACCCTGTGGCGCATCAGGGAGGCACCTGGGGCCCAGGCAGCCCGCCCGTAAGCGCACCACCGTATCAGGTATGCGCAGGTGGAGCAGCAGAGCAAGATGTGTGCCGGACACCCGGCGGTACCCACCATCATCCGGTCGACTTCATGGTTGTGCGACTTTACACAGCCGGCACTCATTACTTGCTATTGCTTGCAGAAGGCCAGGATTTTTTTGTTTTCGCTCTTTCCCTTCCTCCAGGCACGGCTTCATGTTAGAGCAGTAAATAGCAGTTAGGAACTCATCAAGCTGGACTCAGCGTGTCAAGTTTGGCATAATACAAGAAGCGCGCTATCCCTAAACAGTTGTGTGGTTATTGTGTTAGTGTATATGCAGGAGTCCGCGGTCACGAGGGGGGGGGGGAGGAGTGATAATAGGGAGGTTCTGCTATACGTGAAACGTAGAGAAATCACGTAGAGAGCAGGTGTCTGGGTTAGAGTCTACGGCTTCGCGTGTTTTGGCTCCAGATTTCTACGCAGAGATGGGGTTCTCTACGTTGTGGCACACGCAGAGAAAATGCTTACGGATTTACTGGGTATCGAACAACTGCATGCAGAAAACTGCCAAATATGGAAGGGAAATTCCCAGTACACATTCCACGTGACTTCTCTAGGTGAAGCGTAGAGCAGAACAGCATTTCTTTACGTTACGGGAACGCGAAGAAAGTTCGCGTGATTCTTTGCGTCGCGTTTGCAAAACGTAGAGCAGAACCTCCCCAGTTAAACTTTTATCTCCACGTAGATTATTTCCGTAGTTTTATCAAATTTGTTGGAAGATTTGATATGTGTGCGAACTAAACCCGAATCCTGCCAAGCAAAGTTCCACGTCACATCGCACGTGTAACTTAACCTCTAAAAATTACACACAACGTGAGATTTGCACCACGTTGTGAAAAAAGACAAAAAACGTGCACTCTCTAGTTACACCAAAAAGCGCGAAACAAGACTTGATTTTTTACGCAGCTCTTTTAGAGCATGGTAATCATCATGTGCGTGTTTTGAAAATTTGAAATACCCACGGTGAAACATTCAAAAATGCAAACGTGCCTGTCGTCGATTGAAGCTGTGTGAACCCACAGAGTCACTTTTCTCGTATGTCACTCCCTGTAAAACGTGCAAGTGCCTGTCGTGTGAATACCCCATGAGGGTTATACGCCGTGGTTGGTTATAAAAACCCTGCAATCACCACTCCAAAGTGATCAATAGGGAGGTTTCGCTCCACGGAATTACGTAAGAAAATAACGTAGAAACTGCACGTAATTTTCAAACGTGAAATTCAGAGCTGTTGGGTTTCGCTCTACGTGATTTCTCCACGACTGCTAAACATGCCTTGTTGCTTTGGAGACGTGTTGGCTGCATGTGCCCACCGCATGCACCACGAACCGAAACCGCGTTTTCCATCGTATTTTGCATGTGATGTACGGTGTGTGTAGATCTACCTTGTGTTTCGCGCGGCTTGAACTTTGCCATGGACAAGTCCTGAAAATGCAAAAAATATTTCAAAAAGTCCTACGGAGGCCGTAACGTAGGAAACAGCTTTCCAACGGAAATCCGTAGAGAGTTTTACTTATGAAAGCGGCCCTCGCTCCCCGGCGTGGACGACATACGGATTTTCATACGTAATTACGTAGAGCGAAACCTCCCTATTGGCTGCCCCAGCCATGTACGAGTTGCTTGGAATAAAACTAATGATAGGGAAACTCCCTATAAACCACAACACAACCGCTCACATAAATCTCGAAGTACTAGTACCCGATTTTTTTATAGCAAACTACTAGCAACAGACTTGGAGGCGAAATGTAATAGTGCATTGAGAATTATACTTATTCACAGATACCAGTGGAATTGAATCTACGATAGGCACCACGTGTTGTAAGAATGCTCACTCCAATATGGATGAAAATCAATTATTCTTGCTGAGTGCAACGATATTATTGTATCAACAAAAGTATAGACTCCTAATGACAAACTAACGTACTCGGAGGCAAAATGTAACAGCGCACAGAGCATATACTTCTTCACGGATTTCAGGGGAATTACATCTACGATAGGCACTATGTGCTGTAAGAATGCTCTCTCCGATCAATGGACAACCAACTGCGTTCTAGCTGAGTGCAGCGACATTAATCAACGAAAGTACAGATTGGCGATTACTAATTAACAGACTCGTGCATGCTTCAATTCAATCAATGCTAAGTTTCCTTATCAATATTTCCTACCAATATATCCTTAGGCCAAGATTAGCTTCATGCAAGTAGCATCAAAGTACAGAGAAGTACCAACACGAAATGAAATCAAGGCATCAGGTGACATCGTGTGAAATGCGTACTGATTATTACCTCTTACAGTCATGCATAATAATTGTGTATAGGTGTGTTGACATATGCATGCATGTGTATGCGTGGTGTAACACTACAGGAATGCTAACAATGACTGGAACTGGCCGTCAGCTTTTTCCACTTGCTAAGGCTTGTAGAAAGTCTTCCCACTGTTCCAGCGCTGCAAACAAAATGAACACAACACATTGCCCCTGTCTCAATGCAAGTTGGTATTGCTGTATTTTATAAGATCCTGATGAACAACTCTTTTCAAGGGCAGCTCCACCAGCAGTACTTTAAGGGACTGTGCTACTGTTCCAGTTTGCATGTTATTTTGTTTACTGTACTCCATTATGAATTTATGTTCAGTATCTAATGGCATAAATCCTGTCATAAACTTATACTGGAGAGATATTCATATACTAACAGTTAGTAAACTGAAGAGCAGTATTTTCCAGTTATGCTAGGGTCGCCCGTAATTTTCGGGAAAATTCCGTCCTGATGCAAAAACAGCGGGTGGCTGGTCAGGTACGCGGGCGGAATATTTTTTTCGCATTTATTCTTACACCTGGTGCACTATGTTCAGTAGTGTAGGATGGATTGTTGCAAATAGCAGTCTTTCACTATGACGTAGAACACGCATGGGCAGTAGATCAACTGACCAACTTGTACCCCACACACAGACGTGAGATCTTACTTTTATATACCGTATTTTTCCGGTTGTAAGTCGACCTTTTACGACTTAAAATAGACGGAGAAAGGGTGGGGGTCGACTTACAACCGGGATTCGACTTATAACCGGGAGCTATCTGTATCTTACAAAAAATGATCTGCACTGCATGCACAAGTGCACCATGTGTACACATTGTTGCCAGTTTATTGGCATTTTTTGAAGGATTGGGACGTTATACCCTCCATTACCAACCACACAACAAGCCGACCTGTTTGGGAGCTATTACGCGTTGTATTACCAGGAGATAGGCAACAATTGCCGCATACAATAATGCAATATTCTGGTCCAATGCCAGAGCTAGTATTGCAAGCACCGCTGTGCGTTAGTATGGCCAATGCCGACACTAACTGGGGCAACAATTGCCCGGTGAGAATTCAGACGTGTCAATACACGAGCATGCAGTAGGGATGCACTTGTGGGCGAATATAGGCGCACTTGGCTCAATGCCGGCCTGACCCACGATCCCTACTGTTGAATTCAGATGTGTCAATACACGAGCATGCAGTAGGGATGCACTTGTGGGCGAACGTAGGCGCACTTGGCTCAATGCCGGCCAGACCCAGGATCCCTACTGTTGAGTTCAGATGTGTCAATACACGAGCATGCAGTAGGGATGCACTTGTGGGCGAATGTAGGCGCACTTGGCTCAATGCCGGCCTGACCCACGATCCCTGCTGTTCTCCCTTACGGGATGGCTTAAATGATGCACTTGCGAGCGAATATAGGCGCACTTGGCTCAATGCCGGCCTGACTCACGATCTTTACTGTTCTCCCTTTCGGGATGGTTTTGAATGGAATGCTAGTGGGAGATAATGGGGTGGGTGGTGGTGATCAGAAACTGGCCGCGATAGTCAAACAATTTGACCGTCAGCACAGCAAAGCGAAGAGCAAGAAACAACAGCATGGCGAATTGGAGTAATGCGCATGCTCCGCACAGTACCGTGCGGAAACGCGGGAATTCGGAGTGCATGCATGTTATGCATGTACAGTCAACTTCGCTAATAACGACTGCGGATATAACGACAATTCGCGAATAACGACCGAATTTCCATGCCCAGAGCAAAGTCCCATCTAACTGTATACATTTAACTTCGGATATAACGACTATCTGAATAACGACAATTCGCGTATAGCGACATGCTTTTAGTGCCCCAAGGTCATATTCACTGCTTGAATAACGACTTTCTGGGTTTTTGACAGCTATTTCAAGTACAGTGTGCAGTACCTGTCAGTCAAGTACAATCATGTACCTGTCATGCAGAAGTACCAGAACCTATGGTGACGGATATTATTATAAAGGCACACATGCAAGAAAATGCAGCCAAGGGGGGGGGGGGGCTTTTTCTTCCTTTTTTATGTTGGCTTCAAAATTGTTGGATTTACCAGCACACCTACATATATATGTATACAATGTACATGTAGTTGTACATGACTGTACAGTAATCATCATACATGTACATGTCTAGTCTCTGGCCCTGTAGATGGCTCAAAAAGGCATATTTTTCAATTGATTTCCCTTGCATATTGAATTTTTAGTTCCTTTCAACTGCAATATGAAAATAAAGTACACATTGACATAGAGCAAGAAAAGAGCTTGATTTTGATATGCATGTCATACTATACAAAATATGGGTTCACATACATTCAAATGGGACTTCGGTTATAAGGACACTTCGCGAATAAGGACACTTTTCTGATGCCCCGCCGAATGTCGTTATTGGCGAAGTTGACTGTACAAGTGTTGCTTATGGCAAGGATGTTGGTGTGTTGCTAACTCCACTGACCGTGCCATGCACGGAAACTTATAATTAAGTAATGTTGACATGTTGACATGATTTTTTGATGTGTTAGTAGCAGGAGGTGGTTTGTAGTGCTTCTTTGGGTGAACACTTTAAAACGCAGAATTGAGAACTCCGGATACGGGGGTCCACCTATAACCGGGGTCGACTTACAACCCGTAAAAATAAGGTACTTAAATGGACGCAGTTTGTTTAAAATTTTCTAATTGGTACAAGAACGGGGGAAATAGAAACAAGTAATGGGAAAGAGAGGAGGGGGGGCAGTGGGTCATACACAACTTTGCATAAGGACGGATTTTTAAGGTAGCTCAATTGGGTGTCACAAACTGGTCTTCTCTGCATCCTTCTGTGCAGATCATGAGTGGAGACATTATTACTTTCTGCGGCTCATGGGTTCGAGCCCGTCATGAGCGACTTTTTCTTCTTCTTTTTCCATGTTTTTTGGAATGACATACCACATTTCCGAATTGAAAGGAGGTTCTACAGCAGGAATTTGCCCAAATACCCCCTATAGCCTTTTCTCTTTCCTCCTGAGTAAGGGTGTGACTTGACACGCAATAAGCTGCAAAACAGCGACATTATTGTTATTTCACCATGCTCACAATGACTTTTATGCGAACACAAATTGGGGAAGCTATGGAAGATTGCAGCAGGTGATAGTTCTGAAATTTGTTGTACAAAGTAGGCCCTATGGACAAAATCACACAACATGTCCTTAAAATCTCATAATCTGATATTTTTTATAGCGGCATACGGTAAAAAAATTCACGGTTCACGTGAGGCTTGGCTGGACGCCTAGTTGTTCGCATCCGCAGGAATGCCACCACCCTCAAGGATCAAAGCAGGAACACCACCACCCTCAAGGATCAAGGCAGGAACACCACCACCCTCTAGGATCAAGGCACAGATGCAGCTCATAAAGCGATAGGAGGTAAGTAGATCAGAGCGACCCACAATGTGGTCAAAGACAAAAATTCCATTCACTGCATCCATGTTTCCCTCGTGCCAGGCCACGAGTTCCCAATTAACTGTGGGCCGCAGCACGGAATGAGGCAAAATTTCCTTGTCAGTTTTGTGCGATTTTGTAGCACTCGATGACTATATTTGATTTAATTTATTTTAATCATAACTCGTAACATTTTCTCCTTTGTTTTTATCCATGATTACTTTAACTCAACATCCGAGTTCAAATCTATTAGCTAGATGCACCTTATTATCTAATTATTTCACTTTTTTTACTAGTTCCTTCCCATTTTCGTACATTTTCTTTTTCAGTTCCTCCATTGTTCGTCATCTTTCTGTTCCCTATTCAATGAAAAATCCGTCATTTATGAACGACCCAAAGACCACATTCTATGATTCATGATTCAGATGACGTAGACTAAAAAACATCACCGCGTCATTGGTTTTATCAAGAGTACATAACCCCCCAGAGTGTGCAACGCCTGATCCAGCTCTGCATTGGGTCTTGGTCGATCGTAATTGGATCTTCTGATGTCATGCGTGCACTCCATACCAGCGCAAGGCCGGTCTCGAGGCAAGGCACCATTGTTTTTAATCCAAGAGTACCCGTGACTCCCCGGGTTCCGCTCAGATGCCTAGTGTACGGTATTATGACCCCAAGATCCGATTCCGCTCGACCAAGACCCTATGCAGAGCTGGACCAGGCGTTGCACACTCTGGGGGTAATGTACTCTTAGTTTTATGCAATATGGATGCACACACACACTCTGGTTTATGCACTCTTGCTGTTGCCTGTTGGCTTGTCAAATCTATACTAGTGCAAACTAACAGCATGACGGCGCATAGGAGTTTTCGGATCATTCTGCAAAGCAGATTATTACAAAAGTTATCTGAAATGATAAAGGTACACAGTTCCAAATAATCTACGTGGAGATAAAAGTTTAATAATAGCAATGAAAAGTATGAATGCCGCAGACATCACCACGCAACATGACAATTTGTTCAAGGTTTGGTTTTGTGTGTTTCCAAAATCGATTTTCACGTTGCGATCATCAGTGGAAATACGCAACTAAAGAGATCAAGGGAAAAACAAAGGTTAAAAATCCAAAAAAGTGTGACACATGACGGGTAACTTGTGGTAAGTATTACAAAAAGTGAGAACTAAAATAAAGAGTAAGTGTGACAAACGGGCATGAACAGTGCAGAAACAACTCATGAACACGGGGTGCAAACTCACGAAAATAACCTAAGTGCTAAAACATGTTCTTTTTGCTTACACAAATCGGGCTTATGCGTACGAATACAAACAGCTTCAAGGACCTTCAACTGCTGGACATAACGGGCACGACACAGTACAGAGAAGTGGGAATCATCATACACACTCAAACAATCGGGACGAGATAACAAATGCAAATACACAGCTGACTTCTTACGAATTTCACCCTCATCAGCTCCATCACCTTCCCTGCCACCTGACTCCTCCTCGTCCGTTTTATCACCATCACCACCAGCCGTCTCACCGTCATCCGCCTCGTCTTCATCCGCCGCCTCGTCATCACCCGCCTCGTCGTCATCTGTATCCTCGCCGTCATCCGCCTCGTCGTCATCTGTATTCTCGTCATCCGCCGCATCATCACCCAACTCATATTCACCACCAGTCAGTCGTCTGATACCATCCATGTTCTCCTTCCTACGTCTGTCCCGTGCCACTGTCCTTACCTCATCTACGTCCCGAGATTGTGTTCCGTTTTGCCCCCGGCTTCCGGTCTCCTTCGATGCTCCGCGTGGGCCTTGGCCATTCCTAGCATATATTTCGGTTGAATAATTGGCGGTCGACCTCCGTGGTCTCTGGACCCACGGATCAATCGCCGGAGGGTGCTGCGGTGTCCGCACAGCCGGATACTGTGTCAAAGAAATGGGCTCAATTTCTGTGATTGGCGGTACTGTTGTTGTTGCCAACTCCTCCCCAACCCCAGCCACCAACGGCACTGGTGGTGGCTCCGGCGGCGGCAAGGGCAACGGTGGAGAAGGCACATTCGGCATTCCTCCTGCCAATAACAAGAAGGAGGTAGTACTCACGGAGTTTGAATTATTCTACAAGAAGCTTCAGCAGCTCAAGCCCGTGTCTGATGCCCAGCAGGCTGTATGCACTGCCAGTATCAGAGCGGTTGCGGAAGAACACGCTGCAAAACCGCCGGACCGCAGCAAATTTTACCTGTCCCGTGAACACCTCAAAGTCCGACGTGAACTCAGTAACAATCATGATATCTTAATTACCAGACCGGACAAAGGACGCGCAACGGTCATAATGAGCCGAACAGAGTACATATCAAAAATGGCGGTAATCCTGAACGATGACTCCAAGTTCGTGAAACTCGGACCAGTTTCCACTCATGATAATACAACAAAAGTAGAGAAACGCCTGATAACATACCTAAAGAAATTGAAAGCTGAGAAAGAAATTTCGGTCTCAGAGTTCATGAGAATCAAGCCAATAGGCTCCGCCCGCCCGCGACTCTATGGCTTGCCAAAGATCCATAAGCCGAATTGTCCATTACGCCCAATATTATCAATGGTAGCATCCCCACAGTACAAAGTATCGAAGTGGCTCTGTTTGATGCTTGGAGCTGTGCAAGATTATTACTGTAAGAACATTGTCAGGGATAGCTTCCAGTTTGTAGACCTCATTCGCACTCGCCAGATTCCCGCTACAGCGCACATGTGCTCATTTGATGTGGTCAGTTTGTTCACGAATGTACCGTTGGAACAGACCATAGATATTTGTGCGGATGTTCTCTATCACAATAACTCTGTTGACACGCCATGGCTGCCTGAGTCCTCCTTCCGTACACTGATGTCTCTTGTTACTACGGGCGTTGAGTTTTCATTTGATAACGTGATGTATAGGCAGGTGGATGGGGTAGCCATGGGATCACCATTAGGTCCAGTGTTGGCAAATATATTTGTTGGCTACTGCGAATCTCTTGTGGACCAGTCACTGTGGCCGGAGTTTTACGTTCGTTTTGTCGACGACTCGTTCACATATTTTGATTCAGTACAACAGTGTGACGCCTTCTTGGACCGATTGAATAACTTACATCCCTCTCTGAAATTCACGGTTGAGCATGAACAGAACAACACCTTGTCCTTTCTAGATGTGCGTGTGGAGAAGTCAAACAAATTGTAACGTCAATATACAGGAAACCAACATTTACCGGACAATATATCGTCTTTGACTCGTATTGTTCGTACCTGTATAAGGTCAACCTGGTGAAGAATCTGGTGGATAGAGCGCGGCGAATCTGTTCCCCCTCTCGACTCAAGGATGAGCTAGGTTTTCTGAAATCTGTGTTTCTCAAAAATGGTTACCCGGAGGAACTGCTAAACAAGCTACTAAAATCAGCATCAAAACCAAAGGTCGTCATCATTGGTCCA